TTAAGGAATGGGCTCTCAAATTGGCCGCCTTTACTGCGTAGTTAGCTTGACCTCGGGTACCGAGAGACGCTTGACTGGTCGTGAGCTATGACTGGAACGTTTTCTCGGTGTTCAGAAAATTATACTAATAATTTGTTAAACAAAATGAATTCATTAATGCCAATCAAGGTGTTAATTATTATTAACCTGCAGAATTAATAATTTAGATCCTCACGACCAAACCCAGGAGGTCTGGAACATTCCTCGGGTACTCAATCCCCTGGAGGAATTGTTCTCAAAGCTAACAAAAATTAATTTAATTCAAACAGTTAAATTATTATTGAATAAAATATTATAAGACGAATTGAATTACCATTAATTAAATAAATGAGAAGTAGTATGGAAATTGAGCCAGGTGTGACCCCCAAGGCTCAACACTACCAAAATCCAATACCTGGCGTCAATTGGTTTGAAGGAACTCTTTGGTTGCTAATGGCTTCCTTCTTGGACTCCTCGATGTTACTTGTTTCAACACTACACCACTTCTCTCGACACAACGCACTGCTCAGCTATTTCATAGCTCCCCGAAATACCCCCTCCTACTCTCTTTCTAGGGCCGAAGATCGATGCGCCAAAATGCTAGTCGACAAAGTTATCGATCTCTGGCGCCTTATCGATTAAGGGTAATTTACCCTGTTACATCATTGCAAAAAAGCTTGAGGAATCTAACATAACGCCAATGTCAAAAGTGACAACGCTTCGTGCTGGATTGAACGCACCTGGTCTCCAACATGTCTTGAGTTTTCGTCGCCAAGTCTACATCAAACCAGAAGACGTAAACAAAATCCCAAGTTCCTGGAATGTTGACTTCGATGACACTACATACTGGATATACCCCACCCTCAACAGCAGGGTGGGGTATATCTAGGGACACGCAAAATCGTGAAGCGTTCCACATTTTTTAACAAATATAAATAATGCTGTGAAGCGGGAAAGAATAGGAGTTACGGATAATTATTACGTGAAGCGTTCCAACATTCACGTAACAGGATAATTGGTAGGAAAGGATTGAGAAAGGATTATGGAGAGGAACTTCTTAATGTGAGTGTATAGAATATGTGAGAAAAAATTATTAGATAGCTCGGTTCCAACATTCACGTTACAGGATAATTGGTAGGAAAGGATTGAGAAAGGATTGTGGAGAGGATCATCTTAATGTGAGTTTATAGAATATGCGAGAAAAAATTATTAGATAGCTCGGACTGGGATTCGAACCCAGAACCTTCCGAAGACATGGCGGCTACTCTACCATTTGAGCTATCCGGTCTATACTAAATTTCCTTTCACTTATTCTATATACTATAATAGAACTATATTAACCGTAATATATCATAACACGTAATATCTTATTAGCTTTTCCATACCACCATTGCATATGAAAGCTCTTTAAATAAGCTTCAATTTGAGTACCATATCATATGTGTAGTCCCAAAATTATGTCCTATTCCGCTATGCCAATTATGAAATTCGCTATCGCAGTCGTTTTTTTTTTGTTTTTTTCTTTACTGTACACCAGTAGTAAGTAAACAAATAACGGAGTTAGGGTGAAATAAGCTTTTAATCGCTGGTTTACTAAAAATCCATTATTTTTTTCTATTTATGATGGAATCTACTTCCATTTCGACTGCCGAATGGTCTTTTTTATTTCAGAATTAATTTTTGTTTCAAATTTACTTTTTAGTTTTAAAGTTACACAAAATTGATCTCTTGGTTATTACGGTAGCACTGACAAAAAGTCACTGAATTTTGGTTTATATACCATCAGACATCAAGATTTCTAGTATTAGAACACTCTAGAACATTGAGATAGTTTGTTATTTTTCACTTGTCAAAATCACTTGAATTTTTTAAGTCACTGTTCACTCTTGATTCCAATTGATCTTCACCCGACTGCACACACAATTAAACTGAAGAAGTTACTGAATTTCGGTTAATGTACCATTGAACACCGAAATTTCTAGTACCAGAACACTCTAGACTATTTAGATATAAATCAATTTGATTTAGGTCTTTTAGATCAATTATAACACTTGTACACACTTTGGAACTTTCTAGATGTATCCAGAAACTTTTAAAACTTTCTAGGAAATTTCAGATCAATAACACTCACACATTTTTGAACTGTCTAAATCAATCCAGAAATTTTGAGAATTTTCTCGAACACAATAAATAGATTATAATAGTTTTCACTCATTTTAGAATTTTCTAGATCATTCCAGAAATTTTGAGATCTTTTCAGAAGTCCTCATGCATTAGAAAAAACCAGAAATATATGGGTCATTCCATACCACATCAGAAAAGTTTTTACTTGATCTCCTTTGATTTCACTGAAAACTTTCTATCTTTTTATACCCCCCCCCCCGAAAAACATTTTTCAAAATTTTTTTTCCCGATTAAAAAAAAGTTGCGAATTTAAAAAAAAAAACCGCTCTTTTTTAACTACCCGCTGTTATGTCCACCCGCATTTTTTCTTTAAATTTAAATCACCCGCGCAGATGGAAGACTTCTCTATGCGCGAAAGCCACAATAAAATATAAGCTACGTGACTGCTGGTTGACTAGCGGGGACTTCTGCAATCTCAGCGCCGCGAGTTTTTAAAAAGGCGATCAACAGCCAAATCCACGTCTTTTGTCAGTTAATTCGACTTCCGCGTTTAACTTGACAGGCCCGTGCCTTGTAAAGTCCCTTAATTTGCTCTGCACTTAATTCGAGTTCAGACGCGGTTTCAACCGGCAGGCCACGTATTAGTTTTAATATCTATGAGTCGGGATTCTCAAAGTTCTAATTTGCCCTGCACTTAGGCGAGGGCTCGATAAGTAGATGGAACCTAGAAAGTCAAATCCCAAAGTCTTAATTTGCCCTGCACTTAGGCGGGATTTTGACAAGTAAGAAAATCTAAAGAACCGGATTCTCAAAGTTCTAATTTGCTCTGCACTTAGGCGAGAGTTCGGACAATAAGTATAATATCTTTTAACTTAATATCTTTTAAAGCTAAATTTGCGCACTTTACCCTACGGGGGACTGGAGGACGTTAGCTCAAATAAATAAAATTCATTAATATTAATTTCGACCTAATAAAATTGTGAAAGTGTAGAAGTTTTGGTGTTTATTAAATAAATCTTGAAAAGTGAAATCTGTTTTAAATAAACTCATTTTATAAAAATAAGAAGCCCTTAAGATAAGCAGCCCAATCCATCCACATCCATCCGCTGCAAATACCAACAGAGGGTCCAATCAAGGAAAAGGCAC